ATACCTCATCGAAAACGGGGTGCAGAAATTCTAGCAGCGGACATTAAAAAGGTCTTATTTGAGCGCATGTCAACCAATGGCCAGCACAAACCTAAACGTTTGGCGCATATAACGTCTAGAGTATATAGAAGGGGGTGGGGTTAATACATTCGCCGCTAATTCCCATTTGCTTTAAATGTGCTTAAACTCACATGAAATGTAGCTTATTATATACTTCATCGAATACGGGGTGCAGAAAGTCTAGCAGCGGACATTAAAAAGGTCTTATTTGAGCGCATATCAACCAATGGCCAGCACAAACCTAAACGTTTGGCGCATATAACGTCTAGAGTATATAGAAGGGGGTGGGGTTAATACATTCGTTGCTGATTCCGATTTGCTTTTAAAGTGCTGAAACTCATGTGAAATGTAGATTATTATATACCTCATCGAAAACTGTGTGCAGAAAATCTAGCCGCCGACACTAAATAGGTTTTATTTGAGCGCATATCAACCAAAGTCCAGAACAAATATTTTCGTTAATAGCGAATAACGTGGAGAGTATATCGGTGAACGGGGTTTTGGCCTTTAATACATTCGCCGCTAATTCCCATTCGCTTTAAATGTGCTTAAACTCACATGAAATGTAGATTATTATATACTTTATCGAATACGGGGTGCACAAATTCTAGCAGCGGACATTAAAAAGGTCTTATTTGAGCGCATATCAACCAATGTCCAGCTCAAACCTAAACGTTTGGCGCATATACCGTCTAGAGTATATAGAAGGGGTGGGGGTTAATACATTCGTTGCTAATGTTCCATATGCTTTAAATGTGCTGAAAATCACATGGATTGTAGACTATTATATACCTCATCGAAAACTGTGTGCAGAAAATCTAGCCGCCGACATTAAATAGGTTTTATTTGAGCGCATATCAACCAAAGTCCAGAACAAATATTTTCGTTAATAGCGAATAACGTGGAGAGTATATCGGTGAACGGGGTTGGGGTTAATACATTCGCCGCTAATTCCCATTTGCTTTAAATGTGCTTAAACTCACATGAAATGTAGCTTATTATATACTTCATCGAATACGGGGTGCAGAAAGTCTAGCAGCCGACATTAAAAAGGCTTTATTTTGGCGCATATCAACCAATGTCCAGAACAAACCTAAACGTTTGGCGCATATACCGTCTAGAGTATATAGAAGGGGTGGGGGTTAATACATTCGTTGCTAATGTTCCATATGCTTTAAATGTGCTGAAACTCACATGAATTGTAGACTATTATATACCTCATCGAATACAGGGTGCACAAATTCTAGCAGCCGACATTAAAAAGGTCTTATTTGAGCGCATATCAACCAATGTCCAGAACAAACCTAAACGTTTGGCGCATATAACGTCTAGAGTATATAGAAGGGGGTTGGGGGTAATACATTCGTTGCTAATGTTCCATATGCTTTAAATGTGCTGAAACTCACATGAAATGTAGATTATTATATACCTCATCGAAAACGGGGTGCAGAAAATCTAGCAGCCGACATTAAAAAGGTCTTATTTGAGCGCATATCAACCAATGGCCAGCACAAACCTAAAAGTTTGGCGCATATAACGTCTAGAGTATATAGAAGGGGGTGAGGGTTAATACATTCGTTGCTAATTCCCATTTGCTTTAAATGTGCTGAAACTAAGATGAAATGTAGCTTATTATATACTTCATCGAATACGGGGTGCAGAAAATCTAGCAGCCGACATTAAAAAGGCTTTATTTGAGCGCATATCAACCAATGTCCAGAACAAATATTTTCGTTAATAGCGAAGTACGTGGGGATATATCGGTGAATGGGCTTTCGGGCTTTAATACATTCGCCACCCCATCCCACTTGCTTTAAATGTGCTTAAACTCACATGAAATGTAGCTTATTATATACTTCATCGAATACGGGGTGCAGAAAGTATAGCAGCCGACATTAAAAAGGCTTTATTTGAGCGCATATCAACCAAAGTCCAGAACAAATATTTTCATTAATAGCGAATAACGTGGAGAGTATATCGGTGAACGGGGTTTTGGCCTTTAATACATTCGCCGCTAATTCCCATTCGCTTTAAATGTGCTTAAACTCACATGAAATGTAGATTATTATATACTTTATCGAATACGGGGTGCACACATTCTAGCAACGGACATTAAAAAGGTCTTATTTGAGCGCATATCAACCAATGTCCAGCTCAAACCTAAACGTTTGGCGCATATACCGTCTAGAGT